AACCAAAGAATAAGTTGTTATAGAGTTGTATAACAAAAACATTATTTCTGATTTGCTTGCCATAAAAACGATAGATAATGATAATTGAAGGGGCAAGTGGAAGAAGGGGTCAAGTAACATTTTCCGAAAATATTTCATTTTGTTGTGGAAGAAGGAGTTATGACCATATGTTACTTGCCCCATAAGGATTTGCTTCTATTCCTTATATCTGAGCAGATAGATAGTGGTAGAAGGAGCTATGTTACACTAAATATCAAGGACGCTGTGAAAGAAGGAGCTATGTGCCCATAACCTCTTCTTCCATTAGGCAATAATACGTTTCAGTGCCATGTGCGGAGTATTAAGCGCATGTGCGTCAAAAATATCGTGTTTACCTGTTAGTGGCCAATCTGTTCGTACTGAGTAATGTCACTGAGTAACGTTTGGCCGAAGTACTCGTACAATCGAATCGAAATTGAAATGTCTCGGGCACAAAGAATGGTGCAAAAAGCGCTAGAATCGTATGATAAAGAGAATAATGTTGATAGAGAATCTGGTTTTACTCCATTCAGGGAATGCAATGATGAAAAACATGATACAAGAGACGGTAAGTTGTACATATTTTCCTCGACTTCCTCGTGATATAAAAATAATATTGTACGATTGAAAATAATATTATAATTTTTGATAACGTTTACAGGAAAAGAAAAAGATATAGCTTCGTCTCAGATATTGCCTACGAAACAAGATTATAATATGCAGTTCTTAGCGAGAACAAGTGGTGGTAAGTGCATAAACTATTTCGTAGTCAACTTTATACATGTTTGGTTTTGTGGTCAGTTGAATCAATGAAAGAATTTTTTACGTTTGGTTTTATCATTTGCAGAAGCATCGTCAGAATTTCTATTTTCTGAAATAATATTTTTTGAATATTGACGTCCAATGCGGAAAATAACGAGACTAGAAGAGGAAGTCAAGGAGTACCTTTTAATTCTAGAGTCATTTCTTTTTGTTGCAACCAGAGAGGTCATATAAAGAAGTATTGTACCAAGAGTACAAATCAATGTGTGAAGAGTTCCAATATTACTGAAAGACAAAATAACGATATTGACAATTTGCAAGCCAATCTTTAGTATATGGACCATTTAACAATGCTGCTCCTGTTCAGAAATTCATCAGATATGTCAAAATCAATGATCTGTTTACTGTTTCAGCTTTTGTTAATCCTGAAAGTGCAGTATGCACATTAAAAGAAACGGTAGTGATATCCAATCATTTAAAATGTTCAGATACTCATCAGAGCTTGTATGGTTTTACTGTTCACAGTTTTACTATTTACTCACAGTTCTCTGTCAGAGGACTGTGAGTGAACAGTTAACCAAAATCTTGATAAATATAGATGAAGTACAAAAAGAGGTCGAGGCTCTTGTAGTACCTGACAGCACTCAATCTATGGATTTAGTGATTGGCAGAACATTTACTGAACTACCGGGAATAGCTTGCGTTAGAATGTCAGATAATTTGTATTTTGTATATAAAAAAGAAGACCCCTTCAGAAATATCAAACTGAAAACGAAAAATGAGAAAACTGCAATATGTGCCGAAAAGATGCCAGTTTTGAAAGAAATAGGGTGAATTTTGTCGAAGTGCAAATTGATGAGGAAGTATCCTCTTCTTATGCTTCACCAGTTTTACTAGTACCTAAATCGTCGGGCGAAAAAAGGCTAGTGATAGACTTTAGAAAATTGAACTCTCAAACTGTAGTGAAAAATTTTTAAATTCCGCATATTGACGATTGTTTTGAATTACTTTCTGGAAGTAAATTTTTATGTACATTAGATCTTATGTCAGGTTATTTGCAAATGCCTCTTGATGGATAATCAAAACATAAAACTGCATTTATTTATCCAGATGGTACTGCAGAATTTGAAAGAATGTGTTTCGGTTTGTTAACGCATCATTTCAATTTTTGAGACTCATTACTTTGGCGTTAGGTCCCCTAAGAAACACAATTGCAGTATCATATTTGGACGATAATTTGATCGGAGCAGTGAGTTGGTTGGATATGCTTGACAAATTTCGCAGTGTTTCTAAGGCAAAACTAGCTTTCAAATTGTCTAAATGTGAATTTGCAAAGGAATCTATAAAGGTTTTGGGTTTTCAAATAACAGAAAAAGGTTTATTACCTGGTGCTCAGAAACTTGAAGCTGTAAATAATTTTTCAGTCCCAAGAAATAAGCATGAAGTTAGACGTTTTTTAGGTCTAACAGGATTTTTTTCGTAGGTTCATCAAAAATTATGTAATAATAACTAGACCTTTGACTGATTTGACCAAAAGTTGTATCACTTTTTTGTGGAAAATTGAACAACAATATCTTTTGATAATTTGAAAGATTCATTGCAGAAAGCTCCTATCCTACAATTATACAATCCAAAGGCTGAAACCGAGTTGCACTATGATGTATCAAATTTTGGTGTTGCAGGCATATTGTTACAAAAAGGCCCGGATTATAAAATTTATCTTGTATATTGTGTATCTAAGAGGACCAGCGATGCTTAAAGAACATACCATTCGTCAAAACTTGAAATACTGGCTATTGTTTGGTATTTGGAACGACTTAGACCATTACTTTTGGATATCCAGTTCACCATTGTGAGTGACTGCCAGGCTCTAGTTTAATCAAATCAAATCAGTTTATTCATTTAAAGGGCCCATTAGGGTATAGAACATGTCAGGATATAATGTCTTACTACATGTATATAAATATAGTAAAGAGTACGTACGTAACTACAAAATAATAAAAAAGAATAGCAATATAAATTATTTGCTTAAAAAGTTACATTAAAAATTCATCAATGTTATAAAATAAATTTTCGTGCAGAAAGCGTTTTATGGAGTTTCGAAATATCCTCATTCCAGCTGAGATCGTCCTCCAGGGTTATTCCCGAGAATTTTGTTGTTGATTTTCTGATAATATTTAAAACATTCAGTTTGATTGAGAGTGGATTGTTTATTATTCTTTGTCTGGTGTGAAAAATTAGATACTCAGTTTCTTCTATATTGAAATGTAGTTGATAAGCTGAAAACCATAATCCTAGTTTACCAAGATGGTTACAAGCTTGTTCATTCGTTTCACTGCATTTCTGGGAGACAAGAAAAGATGAGTCATCAGCATACCTCGCGATGTTATACTTGAACTCGAAAAAAACATTGTTACCACAGATTGCTGGGTGGTATTCATTGTTATCTGAGATGTAGATAGTTTCAGTAGAAAATGCATCAGATGATAGAATGATTGAGGAAGTTTATGCAAAGAGAATTAATTTCTTCATGATAATTCCTGAAAAAAGAATTTTGATGATCAATAAAAGTGACAAAAAATAAACCAAATTATTGAAATCTTGAGCATAGATGACAAGAAAGAACTTCAGAAGAGAATAATTTGAGAAAGAAATATGAAATCGACACAGGAAAACTGTATAAGAGAGTAACAGTAAACAATCAAATGAAGCATTTATATGTTATCCCCGATTCAATGAGAAAGGCAACAGTTGTGAAATATCATGATCAAATGGGACACTGGTCATTGGATCGTACTGTATCAGCCATATTACAAAAATTTTGGTTCAGGGCTATGAATGTGAAGAAGCACATACAAGGTTGTTTCAAATGCTTATTATGTTTATTAGCAAAGGTTCCCAGTAGAAAGAAGTCAGGAATAGTACACCCACCGAAAATTCCAGACAGACTAATGATCAACTTGCATATATATATCACCTTGGACTTTTTCCTGCTGAAAGTACCATAGGGAAGATGTATATATTAGTCGTTGTTGATGGTTTTTCAAGATTTGTGAAACTTCATGCACAGAGAAGTTCACAGTCAGAGGAAACAATCACAAAAATTAAACTTTTCATTAATTACGATGCACCCAGTCATTGTTGGCGACAAGGATAGTGTTTTCACGAGAAACGAGTTCACTGAGTTTTGTAAACAGTATGATATTGAACAGAAACTCATCACTGCATAACTTCCACAAGTGAATGGTATGGCAGAGAGTAAAATAAAATCAATTATAGCCTGTATTATAACTTCAATTGATTTTGAAGACGACAAATGGGACAAAATATTGAATGCAGTGGAAAAGAAAATGAATAATGCTGTGAATAAAACAACAGGGTTTACCCCTTACGAATGTTTGTACGGATTCCAACCCAGATTTGAAGATGCTGCTATGGTTAATTCGGTAGAGGATGGTAAAACGAATGATCATGAAGAAATAAGAAGAAAAGTTGAAGAAAATGTTAACAAAAGTCAACAAAACTACAAGATATATTTTGATAAAAAGCGGTTTAACGGAGTTAAGTTCGAACTGGGAGATATAGTAACGTTATAAAACCACACATGGAAATTTTACAAGGTGATACATACAGGTTGGAGAAACTCAAACAAGACAGTTTTTTTAGTTTAACTACAGTAGCACATGTATCACAAATGATGATTCAGAAGAATAAGATGAAGAAAACAAATTTGTTATTGAGGAAGTTGGAAGAGAGAGGAAATAAAATTTACTTATCGAGTGATGATATCAATAGTGATACAGACTGGATTCCTGATTCCCAAGAAAGAGCGGAAAAAAATGTTATGACTAATGACAGACCTAAACAAGGAACAAGACAACCGAAGAAATTGATTATGTTTGAGGACAAACATACATTCAGGATGGCCGAGTGTTGTAATTTATTTATTTTGACTCGCCATATAGATGTTTGGAGTAGGAATGTCAAACTTTGAGAGAAATGTCATTGATATTGTTTTTCTTTAGTAATTGAAGTATTGTGTTCTATTCTTGTACTTTTCATATATTAAAGTTGAACTGAACTTTCTTGAACATTTCTACACACCCCGAACTAGAAAACGAAAATCCTGACAAACATTTCCAACAAAACTTGGCCTTTTTTAGGTATAATCAATTCGGGTGATTCTACTGATGCCGGTTGTTGGACACAAAAAAACACCATTATTATTTGATCATCTTATCGATGTCAATACCTATCAACTTACATCAGAATTTTGGAGAAATTTTCAAAATTTTCCACAGTGGTAATGTTGTAATTATACATTTGAATGTCAACATCTGGGTTGATGTTCCTTAAAGTTTCAGCAGCTGCTTCCACCTTGCTCAGTCCTGATTGATGAGGTTGAAAGAACAGTCTATTCATATTTGCCAGCTCAACTTTGTCATAGTCAAACAATATTAATCTTCCAATACCACACCGGGTTAACATTTCTGCAGTAACACTTCCAACTCCACCTACACCTACTATGGCTACAGTAAAATTTCTTATTCTTTCATAATTCTCAACAATGCCCATACTTTGTAATGCCATTAATCGACTGAAATATTTAAATGTGGAATGAATGTGAAAGTATTATTCTACCATATTTACCTGTAGGGGTTGGAGTCAACTACTTCAGAACTCATCAGTTCAATCTTTTCCCTTACATTTTTCTGAGTAGCCACAGTAAGTTTGTGTTCTAATTCTTTTATCAAGACTTTCAGTTCTTCTACATTACTCATTTCAAATACGTTTTATGAATCGACATATGTTATTCTATAGGTTAGGTGATACTTCTAAGTCATTTATTTGGTTGTCTCAGAGTAACAAAAGACAATAGAGTGGCCTTTTCCATCCTTATATTGAAGGCAGCATAACTTTGTTTGTTTACGGGAAGTAAGTTGGACCATAAAACAGTGGCGGTTTTCCCTCCGATTATCAACTAAACCAACCGCCACTGTTTTATGATCCAACTTACTTCAAATGTAAATAAACTCTCCATAACCCCTCATTACCCGCCAACCCACCTCGCACAAAAGTTGTACAGAAAAGGATAGTACGATATCCGTTTCAAAACACATGATCTTATTGCTATAGACATGGCAACTCTATTAGTGCGTTCCACTAAGCACTCATAACGACCACGCTCACGACCACGGTTTTTGCCGTTCCACTTGGTTCTGGGCGTCACAATCATTAACTCTAGTGGAATGGATTTTGGAGCGTTTTGAGCGTTCATTTTAATAATACACATGGCGCGTTTAAAAAAACAAAACAAAAAGTTGATGAGGTTATGTTACAATTTGTAAGTGGTATCAATAAGTTCTATTAATTGTTGGTTAACATGATTTATTGAACAAAAATTATATATATATACTTTAATTTTAGAGGAGTATTTAACTAATTTATGTTCGTATATAATAAAAATGCCTTTTACGGCGGCAGTTGGAAATTTGTTGGTGTGTCGAAATAATGCTCCACAAAGTACCTACTAGTTCGTCCAGCTCAGATGAAGAATGGAATACAATTATACAAAAATATAATCGTGAAAAACGAAAACTTAGACCACGTATTATTGATTACGATAATGTAATTACTCGTTATTCAGATGAAGAATTTAAAAGTCATTTCAGGTAAATTATTTTTTATCACTTAATACACTATAGATTTTGAAAATTTTACTCATGGAATTCTTTATTGATCTCTTTAGACTTTCAAGATGTACATTAAATTATTTACATGAGCTGATACAAGAAGATTTAGTCCGACGTGTTCCCGGATGTCCTACAATTCCTTCCCGTCATCAATTGATGATAGCTCTTTGGAAAATGGCCACAACAGATTCTTATAGGTTAATTTTTTTTTAAATTAACCATTTCAGTATTATATACCATAATTCACAAGTATATCTTGTATCAAGTATCTCGTTCGGCACAATAGAACGATATTGTTGTTGTCGCCATGTTTGCTGCTTTTAGTTTTAAAAATTGCACTCAGTTTCTCAAAACGCTCACATCGACCCACCTCTTGAGATGGGTCGTCGTGAGCTAGGCGTGAGCATAAGTAATGACGTCATTAATGACGTTTTCGCCGCGACCACAACGATCGCGGTCGCCATGTGGAACGCCTGAATGAGTATTTTAGGCGTTGTGAACGCTTAGTGGAACGCACCATATGTCTTATTATTACTTTGAGATGGTTGTAGATGGGTTTCTTTCTCTCTCTCTCTCTCTCTCTCTCTTATTTATCAGGTGTGTTCCCTATAAGGAGTTTAAACATGAAAGGGAAATACTTTTCTCGCTTCAAGGCAGCAGAAAAGCATTACACATCCCCGTAATGCTGAAATATGGGTTCTTGGGCAAAGCTAATTGAAATAGGTTAAATAGAGAACTTAAATTGTCGAGGTCAACGCACGAAAATGATTTTTCGAGAGTGCCAGTACAGTATAGCTTTTAACTTTTAATGTGGTGCCATGTACTGTCGACGCTTAAGGAGTTTTTGGGAATTTGATTGAAAAACTGAGGAATCTGAACTCTTTTGATTGGCAACATGGCAGACTGGTCATACTTGATTGTCGCAAGACACAAACTTTAATCAATTCTATTCAGACAGAAATTTAAATTATATAAACAATTAATTTTAATTATTGTGTTTCAGTAGGTACCTACTGGTATTTAAACTATATGACTTTTCTAACTTTTTGTTTGATGTTTACATTTGGCATAGTTGAAAATGTTTACGAAGTAGATACTTATTTTATAGTTTTTATATTCTCATACTTACATTTATGTGTTGCATGAGAATATTCATTACCATTATTATTATTTATTTCAATATGTAGCATATATATTATTACATTCTGACTACTTTTTCACCCCAAAATGCTCAAATGTTCAAATATTCCCTTTAATTTGTATAACTTATATTTTTTTAAATAATAACACTTTGACAATGATATTTTACCTTCGACAATATCTTTTAAGTTGTGTATCTTATATTTCTTAGAATAGTAACACTTTGTCAATGAGATTTCATCTTCGACAATAAAGTACATTTTGATTCGATTTGATTATTGATGTATGTTATATTAGAAAAATCAATGCACCCTACTACTACACCAGAGTCCATGTGCCCTGACCCTTTCCAGTACCAATCGCACATGATACAGGTTCTCTTCTCCGGTTCGGTCATCCAAATATATAGGTATACGGGTTCTCTTGAGGGGGCGTGTCCCGCGACTCCGCCCCCATCGACCACATTTACCCCAGGGATTTTGGGACTCAGTTCCTGTCTGGATACGACGGAAGGTTGGTTTGCTTCAGATAGCTCTTCTATGAATTGATATTCATTATGGAGGTACTGACCTCGCCATGAGGCCACCCCCAAGCCTCTCTCGGCTTCAGGGTGACTCCCTGGCATTCCACCACCCCCTAGCGCTTCCGCTAGGTCGTAAGTATCCGGCTCTAACAGGGTACGAGGCGCTCCTGTGCGCAACGCACCCTTCTCCTCCCAGGGATCGCTAAGTGCTCTCCCCTGGGGGCATCCCGACGCCTGGCGTCGGACGACCTGTGCTTCGTCGCTCAATTCCATATTGCCAGCATCTCCAAAGCCTTCTTTGCTTTGGAAACGCTCTCTTTCACCGCGCCTCTCGGAACTTTCCTTGTTCCGAAAGTTCTGTCCAGTAGTTCTTTTTTCGAAACATTCGCTGTAACTCCTTCATAGTGTGCCTCAATGGCTCGCATTCAGGCAGAACTATCGGTTGGGAACAAAATTGCGATTTTCTTGATTTCGGAGCCGATTTCAGCATAGGAGATCGTACTCTCATTGATAACATCGCGCGAAGCTCTAATTGGGGTTCGCTTTATGGTCTGTCTGGTACATCTCCTCGGGGATGATGTCCAGTTTTTCGTAAAGTCGTCGCCTGACGTTCCACTTCTGCATGTAGTAAATCAATCCCTCTCATCGCCGAGGTTTTATTTTCCCTAATGCGATTTAATTCAAACATGCTAGTTCGCGCTGTTTTATCGCGGTTTGAGGACAGCTTTGTCCTTTGTGACTTGTCGAATTCTTGAATTATTCGGCTTGCTGAATGCCCAGGGTTTGTCGCTCTGCGACCAAGGGAGAGGTATTGATGTCCTCGTTTGTAGAAAGAATACCCTGAGTAGAACATAGCCTCAGACTAGCTGATCCTACCGGAGTTCTCGGAATGCTGTTTCCTGTGAAACCAGATTCCAGGGGGGTTCTTTGTCGGCTCGTCGGAGTCGCACTCAGGCGCCTAAAAATGTCTGACAAAAGGAACCTTCCCAGAGTTTCCACAATCCTAGAATTCCTCGAATAAATATCCAGCCACTGGTCTGCTCTGATTTAATCTCTATTGGTCCTAGAGATTCCTGATTCCAGTAAAAATTCCTTCAATTCCACTGATTAATGATAACCGCAGATCCCTGAAGACTCCTGTGCTGTAATTTGTCTCTATTAAGTTCTAAAAAGAACCAGAGACTCGAATTCATTTGATAAATCCCAACCGCAGCTTCAAACTTTAGAAAAATCTTCGGATTTTCAAGATGACTGCTACTCGCTCGATGTTCAAACTTCGACTAACTAACCCTGCACGTCGTCTTGATTTCAGACAGGTTGAAGCCTGGCTCCCTTACCCTTTGGACTGATGTTTGCCAAAAGGACAAACGGGTCATAACTGATGGTGAGTGTTGATGGTATGGCGGAATGAATGTCCTTAGACATCAGTACCGCCCTTCATGGTGTACCCCTACCTGGCTGGGGTGGGTTGGATGAAGAAATTGTTCATCTTTTAACGTAGGATATAGCGGCCTCATTCGACAGAGTGTCGGGGCCTTCTATATCGGGAGGGGTCGTCTACAGTATAATCCATAGCTTCCCTGACTAATGGGTTTTCATGAGCTTCTGCACCATCAAAAACTCTCTGGTTTCTCGACTGAATGGACTGCCGAATGGAAGGCAGCTGCAAATCTCTGCGAATGGCTTCATTCCGCACGAACCAAGGTTCATTCACAATCATCCTCATTAACTTGTTTTGCAATACCTTCAAAATGGAGATATTATATTTCGCCGCTTGTCCCCAGACGCCTGAAGCATACATGATGACAGGCTTGAACATCGTATTATAGATGGTAATCTTGTTTTTAAGACTCATTTTTGATCTTATGTTGATCAGAGGGTACAGGTGTGTTATCCGACCCTCGATCTTAGATTTAATGGTCATTATGTGCGGGTTCCAAGTGACCCTACGGTCTATTAGAAGGCCGAGGTACTTTACCCGCGCTTGCCAGTCAATCTCCTTTCCAGAGATTCTCACTTTTCTGGCCGGAGAAGATTTCATTCTTCCTATGGTTATCGCCTGAGTCTTTTCCGGGTTCACTCGGATCTTCCAATCAAGGTACCAGCGCTCGAGGTCGTCCAATGCCCGTTGCATGTAGACGATGCCGAGCTCCCGACCCATGGAAGATGAAAGGAGAGCCGTATCATCGGCGTACAGAGATATCTTCACACGCTCGGGCCCTGGTGTAAAGTGAGTACAACGTCGGAGAGAGCACGGCCCCCTGTGGCGAGGATCTCTCTGTTGTCAGACAGAGAGCCCTCTACTCTAACCTGGAATGTCCTGTTTTTCAGGAAAGACCCAATCCACCGGATGAGGCCCCGAGGCAGGTCGAACTCGTTTAATTTGTGTAGAAGGCCTTCGTGCCAAACACGGTCGAAGGCCTTCGAGATGTCGAAGAGCACTATGTGTACTTTTTTATTAGAGTTAAGCTCTTTGATGGTGTTTTCGACCAGCCTTAGAGCCTGTAACTCAGTGAAGCCAAATTGTTCGTCAGGCAGAACATTTCGGTCCTCAACTTCTTCGCTGAGCCTTTGAAGA